TTTAAAAGCTTTGATTTCATTGTGACTGCTAAAATAAAATTAATAAAAACCTGTGAAAGATAACTAGTAACTTCTTAACTTTAGAATATTTTGTGTTACTCATATTTTCCCTCTTGGACTTGCAGTTTGCTGCTGTTGAACATCCCGGTGAGAATTGGCCTGAGGGCTCTAAACCTGCATCCCATACCTCTCTCTCTCACTTTTACGGAGGGGGAGTTCATCCTGGTGGTTTCAGGGGTCAGACTCCCTGTGAGTCCTGTGGACCTTCCCACTGTGGGTCTCCTTTTTCTTCCAGAGGCTTGGAGTCACCGCATCATAAACTCTTGACATGTGACCCATACCTGTATCCAAATCAGGAGGAAACTTCTGTGGAAGAGGAGGTGGAAGAACGAGAGGAAGAGCAAGAGCAAGAGGAGGAGAGGAGACAGCTCTCCGGTATAGAAGTATCCAGAGCCTCAAGCAAAGCCCTCCTGTTGTCTGACCCTCGGGACATCTCTGAGGGTTTGGTAAATCCTGCATTTTCTCAGTATGATATCATACCAGGTTCTCGGTCAAGACCCATCAAGTCCCCCAGGCAGGCCGGTCTGTCCAGAGACCGTCCTAACGACTACTGCAGGTCCCTGTCTTCCAGTGTGGAGAATATGGCTTTCTCTGGGGTTCCACGCAGTCAAATGGGGGGATCAGTTTCCTCTCTTAATGAACCAATGAACAGAGAGAGTTTATCTGGTGGGAGGACTTTTAGGGACGACACTTTGCTACGATGCAGCAGGAGCAGAGGTATTGTTGTGCTTTTAAATTCAGGGGTTAGACAACATCATTGTTTATGATTAATGTGTGATTGGTAACTAGATAAACTCAATGCATATGCCTTAGCTGATGGGGTTTACTTTATTTCATCAAATCATGTTCGTTTTGTTTCTGCAGAGTGGTCCAAATCCTCAGACTTAACTCATATCAGCTGCAGAGACAAAATCCAGAACAGGAAGACGGTGAAGATTCAAGAGAGCAGTCCTGATGATGTAACGTGACACAAGATGTCTTCTTCAGAGTATACTGTTTAGACTTGCATGATTGATTTACTAGTCAAATGCTATCAGGGTTCAGTAATGATTTCAAAATAGTATGGATCATCAAACTGAAACCTTTACGATATGCTTTGTTTCACCTGCCTGAAATGTCTGCGCTCTCTTCACATGTAATGGAATCAGGGAACCTTGCAGTCCCATCTGCCTGACGCCTGCTGGAGAAGGTACAAGAGACTGAGGGGAGAACGTACATGTTGGTCGGCTTCAACCAGCCTCAGTCTGCTCAGTAAGAACCCCCAGTCCAATCTAAATCAAGTACATGTATTTTTTGAAATATATAATGTAATCTATCCATGGTGTGGATTAAAAGACAAGGAACAGAAAAGAAAATGTGAAATTCTTTTCCACTTTTGTTTTAGACTTTGAACCATTGGATCAGTTGCAGAAGCAAGTGTTTTCCCATCAGGTAAGTCTGTGCCTCACTGTGCGATTATGCTGTAGTAATTGTGTAAATGTATGATATGTGAGTGAGACTGGCCTGGTTATCTTTGCTTCGACCTTCAGGATGTGTGGAGCCCCACTCATTCAGCATGGAACAGGTTGGCCAAATCAATGAACAGTAGGTCCTCGTAAGTCTGTTTTTCTGTTTCCTTGCTATTATTTAAAACATTATAAAACCCTCATCAATCAATCCAATATGTTTTCTTTGTGTTTGTTTTGTAGTTTACAGAGTGGTGTTCCACCTGAAGGTATTTCTAAATGTTCACATATTTTTTCCGATACATAATTTGTTCATTCCTTTACTATACATTCAGTACAATGTGAAGTTTTTTCAGTTTTTTTTTGTATCTCTCTTTTTCTCACTTTAGTAAAGAGCTCTTCATTCCAGTCCACAGACAATTTGTATCCTCACTATTCAGGTATTAATATCATATGCAGAAGTATGATTAACTGGAGCTGGAAACACATTCGGTGCACTAGATAAGTCGTATCAGCTCCTGTGTAGTTGTGACCTGTGTTGTGTTTGTGTGTAAACAGCTATGGAGAAAAACAATCTGATGAGACTGGCTCACACCATTCCCTTCACTCCTGTTTCCATTTTGGGTAACTCTGTAGTTTGATATCACATTCACCTTTTTTCTTGTTTCTTACTTTTGTTTTTCTTTCTTTTTTCTTTTTTCTTTTTCTTTTCTCTCTGTAATTTATTATTATTTTATTTGACGCATTTCTTTGACTGACTTCCTTTTTACTGCAGGAGGTGAAGAGGTGAGCATTTACTCTCTGGAAGAAGTGCCCTCCGACTCCAACACTGAAACTAGCACTGCCTCATCCTGGTCCTCACAGGGCCTGTCTGCTTTACTGCAGCCCCTCTCCAGTGAAGAGGGCTCTTTGGATGGGGGTCTGAGGCTGGGTTGCAGGGTGTTGTGTACCTGGGCAGAGCAGGATGTACTCAGACCTGGTCTTATATACATGGTCAAAGCCTTCAGGCCAGAGGTGATTCGTGCCTGGAAGAGGTACTTCCATGGTAGCACCGAACTGCAGCTTTGTTTAAGGGTGAGTGTACCTTAACTGTGCACATATGTGGGCAGTGGTACCTGTTTAGTTACATGTTGACGTTTATGAAATAGCTTTAACTTCATGATACCTTTCTGTTTGACATCCCTGCAGGAGATCCAGCAGCAGAAAGCAGCCCAGAAGTTGATGCAAGTATTTAACCAAGTTAAACCTGAAGATATGCCCTACTCTCCGAGGTGTGTGTGTGTGTGTGTGTGTGTGTGTGTGTGTGTGTGTTTTTTTCTCTGCTACATTTATGGAGTGTGTGTCTTTTCATGTTCTCACTGTCTTATCATAAAAAAGGTTTCTAGATGTTTCCCTGGTCCTTTGGCATTCAAATGGCCAGTGGCTAACTATTGAGAGGAACGTGGCCGGAGACTTCAGGAAGTACAACAACAATACAGGAGAAGAGATCGCCCCCTGCTGCCCACTGGAAGAAATGCTGCTAACTTTCTCCCACTGGACTTATGAGTACTCATTCAGAGAGCTTCTTGTGCTAGACATACAAGGTGGATTCCTTTATTTTGGTATTATATGTTGTTTTCTTTGTATGTGTGCCTGTACAAACGTGAGTTGTTTAGATTCCATTATCTTTTGTCTTTATTTTTTAATGCGTTGTTTTTCAAAGGAGTTGAAGAGGTGCTGACGGATCCAACAGTCATCATGGCGGACGACCAAAGGTACAGCAACATCAGGCTTTTTGATTACATCTGGTTTCAGAAATCTTTTCTGCTGAGTTAAAAAACTTAAAATGAATGTTCAAACAGATGAAGGGAGTTTTGACTCTGTTACAGTGGTAGCAGGGGAGAGATGCTTTTTGGTCCTGATAATCTTGGAGTTGCTGCCATCAATGGATTCCTGCAGAAACACTCTTGTGGTGCCTGCTGCCGCAGACTGGGCCTATCAGGTCAGACATTTTTTTCCAGAAATGTTGATAGTGTGTGTGTGTGTGTGTGTGTGTGTGTGTGTGTGTGTGTGTGTGTGTGTGTGTGTGTGTGTGTGTGTGTGTGTGTGTGTGTGTGTGTGTACTCGTGTGTGTATGCTTAAGAGTGAGTGAGTGAGAGTGGGGGATTGAGAGTGTGGGTGTTGACATTGATAAACTACATTATAACTACAAGAAAACAGATTTTTGTCACTTGCTTCCCTTTGTGTATACAAAGGATTTTCTTTTGTCATAAGCGTTTTTTTTTTCCTCATGCACGTACGTCTATGTTTGTGTATGTCACCTCTGTGTCGTCTCTCAGTAGGCCAACGTTGGCTCTGAGATAAATCCCCAACAACTTCAAATGAAGACAACACGCACCAACAGCCAGCTAATTAAGCCGCTAGTGTTCGTTTATTTCTAAAACAACAGTAGTGTTTTCGAGGCATGGGGGTGGGCCCTGCTTTGTGCGTTGTGCTCCGCGGCCTTTGATTACGTATTAATCATGTCTTTGTGCTGGCGATGTGCTGCTGAGACATTAGCTTTGATTAGCTATTAATTAACGTCTCTGGGTAGGCACGATACTGGCATCTAGAGGATAACTGCTCGGAAAGAAACTGTGCTCAAAAACAAACAAGCCCAGCAAACAAACACAAACATTCAGACACACTTGTTTTGATATTTCAAAGGTGTGTTGTGTTTCCTCTTCCTCTTCTTGTGTCCTCTCCAACATTTCTCCAACAAATCAAACCAAATTATTCATGCCGAATGTGCGGACTTCCTCCCAGGCCTGTCAGTATTCTCTTTCTTGTGGTAATGCTTGTGTTATTGGAGCGACACATCGCTAACTGATGTTTCTATTGCTCAGATTTAAGGAAGCGCTCGGACAGCTGCGGGGCAGAGCTGACATCGGGGATAGAAGAATGAGATGACGATGAAACCGGGATGTAACCGTTGACCCTGGGAGTAGGAGAAAAGGACACATGCACTTATACATGCACATGCATAGATACATGTCTGTCTTAACACACACACACACTGACATATGTTCTCACAAAATACTTCCATTGTGGGTTGTCGGGATTTCTTTGCAGAGGAAAAAGGCAGATAGAAAAGTGATACCTGAACATGCACAGTCTGTGACTGGGCACAGAAGATTTCATTGTGTTTTTTTTTTTACTTGGGATGTTAATATATATTCTCCCAGGGAGAAAAGTAATTTATTTCCAGAGAAAGGGAGTCTTGCATATGTTTTAGTATATCATACATTTTATATTCTAAAGTTTTATTATCATACCTGCTTTTACAGGACCACGCATTCACAAACATCATCTGTTTTTGCACTTTGTCTTTTTGTAAGTATTTTTGATATTGAGACACAGGTAACAACTTATATCTGCATACACTTGTTCTTTATGGATTATTGTACCAAAGATCATATTTTTTAGGTGTGGTAAAATGAAACAGTGTAAATGTGAGACAAAAGAATCAGACAGAAATGACCCATAAAATTTCATTTATTTTTTTTTCTCCCCACAACAAAATGTCTACAAAAGCGATAAAATATAGAATTTAACAAAAATCACTTCAGACCTTCACATTGTATGTACATCTCAAAGGAGGACTCCGTAAGGGCCCTGCATAGCTCTGAACTTCAACCCTCTCTGATCCATCATGTGTTGGGTGTTACTCTCTCTCTTTAATGCAAATGGATGCTTGCACACACATACGCATGCACCCACACTCATTCTCATGTGAAAATAAAACAAAACTGCAGAGCTCCTGAATTTATAGTGGAGTCAGAGTTCAGAGTCCAGCAGAGTCCTCTCTTACCAACAAAAAGCATAAAATGTAAAAACGGTTTGTCTGAGTAATTAAATACATGTTCCTTGGATTTCCCCTTTTTTTGATTGGTTCCTCAAGTGAACTCGCACAGTAAAGCTTCTACACCTCACTCTGCCAATCCGTCCTCTCCTCACTAGCTATGGCACTTTGAAAAAAAAAAGAAGACAAAGTCTCATTTTATTGTATTTTTTGTTTTGTTATGTAAGTCCTGTGTAAAAAGAGTCTGTAACAAGAGCACCTTTAAGGTTTCAGCTACAGATTTGCTACATTTTGTTTTATTTGCTCTTGCTGGGATGCAAAGACATTCTAGACAATAAATTAACAATTTTCAACACTACTCCAATTGCACGCATGTGTAATGCATCAAGAAAGTTTACAAAGCATTGGTAGAGCAAAGATCATGTCATTCTCTCTCTCTCTCTCTCTCACACACACACACACATTCTCACTCAAATAGGGTTTCTCAGGCAAAGGGAGGAGGAGGTTTGGGTTGGAGTGTATTCGTCTAAGTGTAGGAAATGTATTTCAAACCAAGTTTATTAAAAATGTTTGCGCACTTTGTCCAAGCTGTCACATAGTATGACAACTATAATTGTGCGCTCTGCGATGACAGTCTATGTTGATGGAGTGGTAAAGGCGTATGATGCGTTCAGCCCCTTACACTGAACAGGCTACTCCATAACATTCAGAAGAGATTACCCGCCCCACATCATTTCCAGGTTAAGGGTCTCTGATCCGGTTCAATAAGGCCAGTTCAGAAAGGGCCATTCACTGACTGGTTTATACCAACTCACACATTCAAAAGTTAAAAAATAAAAATAAAAAATTCAAACTGAACAAGAAATGTTAAAATGGTTGTGTATAAATAAGAGCAATTTATTCAAAAATTCTTTCAGCTTGTGGAAAAAAAAACTTGCTTTGAACTGACTGAATTGAGGTGGAATTTGCCCTAAAAACCCTTCTCCCACCCTGCCAATAACCCCTCCCGCCAAACTCACAATATCATGAGAAGAGAAAACACAAATAAGCCCCAAATGTTTCATTGTAATGAAACGTCATGCAAATAGAACAGAACAACAATAGGCTAATAGTAATAGAAGAATAGTAGTCATAATAAGAACAATAATAATAGTAAATAGTAATAAAATAAAAAATAATCTTACAATGCAAACATGACAATAGTAAATGCCTCCAGTTCTTATTGCTACAGTTTCTTACTTACAGTGTTGCGTTGCCACTCTTTTTTGCCAGCACATCCCCTCTTATACCTCCATCCCACCCCTCTGATTCACAGTCTAACAAGGGAAAATTAAAACATCACACACAAAAACTTCAGAGTCAGAGTTGGAATTCACTGTCCCAGGGCTCGTGTGGTGGCTCCTGATTCACAGCTTACTAGTGGACTTCCCTCTCTGTCCCGAAAGCAGCAAAATGAGCAGTAAACATGAGTGTACAGTGGTGACAAGAGCACACTGACATAAAATATATCTTCTTTTTTCCATGTGCTACGTTACAATGCTTGTCATACAGTTTGGGCTCTAAAGAGATTTGGACAGTGAATTCATGCTCTATACACACATACACACATACACACACTTATCAAAGCCTTGTCTGGGCAGATTCCATTGCCAACATACGTTGGCAGCATATGCCTCTTTTATCCTAAAAAGTAGTTCTATTATATTTTTTTTTTGTAAATTTGCAAAAATATTAAACCCTCTTTTAATGCAAAGTCAGAAAAAGAGCTGCTCCCTGAGAGATGCTGTGTAGTGCATCGAGCCTTACTGAGCAAGTGATTGTCTCATGAGTCACTGGCCTCTGATCTGGGGTTGGGTCAAGGGGAAGAATGAAGGGTCCTATGAATGGATCACAGAGACAGATGGATGCTAGAATTACTGCTTGTTTCCCAGCATTAACATTGTTTTGTTGGGATGACAACAGGAATGATTCGAGTGTTTAAATGTTAATGAATGCACTACTCGTCTGAGTGTGTCCAAGCTTCGATTAAATTGAAGATTTGGCCACCGTGTCACTATTTGAAAAAAAACCCAATTAACCTAGGTCAAAGCTTTACTATAAGTGCAAATATTATTAGAACTCAATTAGAACTTTAAAGATGCAGAAAGGTTGAGTGAAGCAAAAATTGTTGTTTTGAATAAAAACTTTTAAGTGACTGTTAAAAGTATTGTCAGCTGATTTATTTAGGATCAAGAAGCTGAATGCAGAACTGAAAGATCTCATTCAAATAAATGCATCTTCAATTATTGTTCCAAAAATATTTTCACAGTGATAACTACAAAAAAAATAAACAAGGAAAAGACAATCTGTAAGTGCTTATGATGATGGAACGATTAACAAAAAAGCCAACATGAGATTGTCTATCACAACTATTTGTGTGAGTTTTTAATGTGGCTTTAAAGGTCATTGGAGGCTTATCTGCATGTCTTCATATTTGTTAGCAGTGCTTTGTGTTGAGTCCTCCCTCAGATAATAGGGTTTCACATTTAAACACTTCAGAGTCTGTGTTGGAATGAGTGCCATCCATGGAGGTGATTGTTGGATATAATTATAAGATCAAGAGTCAAATATAGTGCATTCTTGTAGAAACTTCTACCCTGTTCTGAACAGCTAGACGTATTAAATGAGGAAACAAAGGAGTAAGATCAAAAAGGCAGTGTGAAAGTTATTGCTTTTTAGAGAAAAGGGTCCTTCATATTCACAGCCTGGAGGGATTGACATCCACGGACTGGATTGTGCAAATAGTGATGAGAGGGATGAGGGCATACAGCACTCATATAGGGTTTGAAGATTGGCAAGTTTTTAGTTGAATTCAAGTTGGTTTTTTTAAACCTTCTTTTGGGTGGATATTGGTCACTTCTTCATTGTGATTTATACCCACATGTCTGAGTATCTGACTAAATCTAGAGTCAAGGTTATTTTCTATAAGAAAAGGGTTCAGGGTTAGGGGAGTCTGGGAAGAAAAAGGGGTTCATTACGAGGTCCTTGTTTCTGATTGGTTGTTTCTGGTTGATTGTTCTAAAGCAGTCCAGCTTTTGTTGGACATAATTATTGCAGCAAGAAAAACATGATTGATAGGATGGCAAATCTGCCAGATTTTCTTTTTTGCAAAATAGAATATTTATGTATATCTCTTCACCTTGAATAGTAGTAGCAATTTTAAATCCTTCATATGCTCTCTTTACATTTGTATACGTTCTCATTAGAAGGATGCAGTTCCTTCTTTACATATGAACAAAATCCAGACAAGGCTTCTATATATCAACAAAACCCGAATTGATTTCTGGTTTTACCCAATATTCTCTTACAAGTCTCAACTTTACAAATTCTGTACACAAGAAACTGTCAAAACAAAATCACATAGACAAGGTAAAGCCAGCCACTATGGACTGCTGTATATTTAAATTAGGACTAACTTATTTTAACAGAACAAGAAGTAATACTGGAATCCGCTCTGTACTAGGAGAATATCTACAATAGCTTCTCTAAATCCACAGTTCCCTCCCCCATCCAGCTTCTTCAAACTCTCAATTTCTTCACTTGAAAATACAAAATCAAACAAACAAAAAAGATTTTTTCAAAGTTAAAACAAATTAACTTACCCATTTTTTTTTAAAAGATTGACAGCTTAAAATTGTTCCTAGATCTTTTAAAGTCTGTACATTTCTGGTCAGTCAGTTCAGTTCAGGAGACGGGAGGAAGCCCGCTTAGGTTGTGGCTCGAGGCGCATTTCATTTATATATACATTCTTCAGACTGTATCGGTGAACAGGATGGGATAAGTGCTGGACATTCCTAGTATTGTTGGCGATAACTGTAAGTTTCTGGCAGATGAATCCTCACCCTCCCGTCCAAATTGAGGCTCGGGGAGTTCAGTAACATGCGATTGCCACAGTGATGACAACGTCGACATTTCCACTTGCGTCTCGTAAGATGCGGCTGTCTTCATATTTTCTTGGTCCTCTGCAGACGTTGTTTGTTGCATGGGGACCACAGGCAGTCACTTAGGCATGGCCATGGCAGAGTTGGGGTCTGGGTTGAAGAGTTCTTTATAGAGCGGAGGGAAGAGGACATTGACTGTTTCTGGATGGAGCTGCTGGAAGGCCTGAAGCTCCTCAGTATGCAGTGTACACAGGGCTGACAAGGTGGGAATTCGGCTTATCAGCTGCCAGACCAGAGGGAGAAAAAGATCAAAATTAGACTGATAAACTACAAACAGGGCAAGATAAGAGGTGAGTTTGTGTACTAGAATCAAGCTTCTTTTCCTTCAGCAGTGGGCGCTGTCTTGATATCACCTGCCTTCACCTGGCTTACCTTAGCCAATGCATCTTCATCCATGTGGTTCTTCTGCATAATGTGCTGCAGAGCAAAGTAGATCTTCTCCTGAAGTTTCTGGACTTTCCGAGGCTCCATCAGCCACGGCCGATCTGAGTGGAAAAAAGGGAGAGAATTGTTGATTTGGCTCAGGTGGGCTAAACAAAATGGTTAAACTACATGGATTTAGTTATACTCCTTGATGCCTACAAATGTGACCAGTGTCCACACTGCTTAGCACCTTGATTCAGTGCGCTTTGTGCTGATATTCCAAAAATGTAAGGGAATGTGCACTGACCTGTGGAAATTAGTACAGCAGCTGAGAACAGAGCGATCTCCTCCTCTGTCAGCTGCAGGGAACACAAACTCTTGGCAAAGTCAAACACCGCACTGACTAAGTCATCACAACCTTGGAGGGAAACAGAAGAGGAAAAAAGGGCAGAGAAAAAAGAGAGATTTTCAGTACATTTATTCTGGTCATGTGTGCACAAAAATAACTCAGTCTGGAGGTGTTTCATTTAGTCTTTATGCATACTACTTGTCCCTGATTTATTCCAAGACAAATGCACAGGCAGTAATTTCTTACCCAGGGCTTTGAACATCTGCATGCCTCCGTACTTCCCTTCAAAGAGGACAGTGTTGTTGAGAGGGTTGAATGCCCTGCACATCCGAACCAAGACTACCTCCAGACAACCTGGAAGATCCATGGAGACAGATTGGGATCATTTTCAAGGCTGATACACAATTCAGAGGCTAAAAAATAAGAAAGCAAAGGACCTTTTCTTTTGCAAAGCTTCACTCTCTGGCCTGCAACAAGACAAAGATAACCATGAACAGTTATTAAATGAACGTACCTGATTTGAGCAGTAGGATCTGGTCATTCTGGCACAGTTCCATGAACCCTGAGATGCGCTTGGCGAACTCCACTACATACTGGATTGCATGGGTAATCTGGATGGCACACTGCTGCCACAATACGTCCCGGGGCTAGAGCCAAAAACACACAGTTTAGGGTTATATGGACTGTCCTACAGTAGTTATATTCATGTCTGTATGTGAGTCTCTTGCCATCGCTCTCTTACAAAATGCTTTCACATTTATCAATGCTAACCAGGAGGGTTTTTTTTCCATGTTACGAGGGAAGGAAAAAGATAAGTTCTATACAATTTGAATCTCAAGTGTTGAAACTCCAGTGCAACATCATCAAATCCTTGGTTCGATCATTTTTCTTTCTACAATTGTTCCAGTCCTTTAGCATTAGAGTACCATATGCTTTTAGCGGGAGTACTTCCAAATGTATTGCCATAATAAAACCTCACCTTGCTCTGGTACATCTTGACCTCTTCATAGGAGTGTGTTTGCCAGGCCAGCTGCTGCAGCTCATCTGTTGTGTACTGACACGTCTCCAAGTGGGATTTGATGATATTCTGAGCAATGCGGTCTGGAAATGAGGATTATTTGTTATTTCAACAATACATTACAGCCATTGATTTATCTAATTCATTTATACAGTTGATAAAGTGATATATGCTAATTGAAGAGGTAGGACAAACAGGGCTTCAGTGAACCCAAAAAAATCTTGCTATGCCCTATTAGTACTCATCAGGACTTGTGGGGATTTCTTTTTTTCCAAACTTGATATTCTATTTTCATCATCTTTTTTAAATGATGAACCATTTAACTGAGTCAGTCCTACAAGATTAGAAAAGACAAAGTCTTTACCGAGCTCTCCCATGCTGACGTTGTTCGGTCCCAGCTGAGTATCTTGGTAGCCTCCGTAACTGAACAGGTTTGGTACTGGTGTCAGGTCATACACAGGCTCCTGCTTGATGTGCTTCATGCCCGACATGTCCAAACCTGACTGATCGGGAGATGGCTGGGTGGAATCCATCCCATAGTATCCCCCTGGTACTACACCTCCGTTACCATGTCCACCCTTGGGTAGCTCAATGACATGACCATTGGCATAGGTGCCCCCAATTTCGTGATTAAGGGTGGACAGTCCGTTGCTGAGGCTGGATGAGTAAACACGTGCCAAGGCTTCAGCTTCGCCTGTCTGCTGCTGCCGTTGCTCCTGCAATCGTGCCTGGTGCTTCTGGACCTCTGCATACAGGCTGTCACGCTGTTTTTTGGACATGCGGCCAAACTTAACAGCTATAAAAGGAGACGAAACAATGATGAGTGTTAGACCATTACCAAATGGATAGACAGTCTCAACATTTCAGACTTTAAATAGAATGAAACATGTGATACTTGTTCTTTAGGCTCTGCCTGAATTAATTGCACACTTGACAACACACAAATTAACAACATTATCATTATTTATTTCAGTGATGATGACTGGGCCTCACCATCTCTGGACATTCCTAGGGCGAGACATTTCTGTAGGCGGCAGTGTTGGCAGCGGTTGCGGTTTGTTCTGTCAATGAGGCAGTTCCTCTGACGCGGGCAGGAGTACGCTGCATTATTCTGCTGACTCCGTCTGAAGAAACCCTGGTTGATCACATCAAGAAAGAGCATGGATATAGACTTATAGGAAGCTGTACAGAACAGAATGTTCATGACTAAGAGAGCTCAAGGTTTTGAAGCACAAGCAGTCTTACCTTACATCCCTCACACGTGATGACTCCATAGTGGATGCCTGATGATTTGTCTCCGCAGATTTTGCAAGGTATCACTTCGATTTGGGCTGCAAGCAAAGGGAGGAGACAAAAGGGAAAACCATTATAAGAGACATTTGGACATTTTTATTTTTCCTGAATCTGGTATTTGAGAACATCTGGTTCAGTCAGAGCTCACAGAGTTTCAGAACTCAGTTGGTGGCCTAATTTGAGGTCAAATTGGGACATGACCTTGTTGGCTGTAGGACACTGTGTGAACATGTCTTTCCTGCAGTATGTGTTTGACTTCAACTTCACAAGGGCAAAGTGACATCTGGATATTCTGTGGGTCTTTGTAGAAGCTTTTCTAATGACTGGGCTTGACATGTACTTTTCTATGCACACACTCACACACGCACAAATGACAGGATAGTGTTAATTGTGTGTCAGGGTTCTTTGTGAAACGCTTGAAGGAGAGACCCCTGCAGGTAACAAAGGGTGCCCAAAATAAGAAAACAGGTCATATCACTGAAGCACCACACCTCCCTCTTCTTTTGCTAACCTTTTCTCTCTCTCCCTGTTTCTTTCTCACACAGAAGCACACACGCACATGCACTCAATAAAACAATTTTTATTAATGGTTTCACTGATTAGCTCTATTTTAATCTAATACCGCACTAATCTAACTACTCACTATTCATGTCAAAATGTTACTCACTGTGTATAGGCAGCTCCATGCACAGTCACAACCAAAGGCACACAATATAAACATTCAGTGTAGCACCAAAAACGCATCTGCCACTAGTTTTTTTTAAAAACAATATATGGTATAACAGGTAGTAGGTGAGTTCCTATAAAGAGATATGGGATAGATGTAGAGGTAGTCAGGTGTGTGCTGAGATGGCACACCCTCTATAAAGAGATTAGACAGCCTATTTAATCTGAAATTATTTCCCGACGAGCTGGTTCCCTCCTCTAATGAGCAGTGGCTTAGTCAAAGCTGATGTAGCTATTCACCTATAATCTGCTTGCATTGTCCCACCTGTAGGAACCTCTGCAAGTTAAATGAACCTTCTATCAAGTTGCGAAACTGACCAAGTCAATAAGCAAAAAAGACATACATAATATTGTCCCTAAACATTGTGCTTGTTGTTAGAAGACTTCAGAGGTGTGAGTTTTGAGCACTCACAATGAATAGTTTCATATTATATCCAACACATACAGATATTCTTCACACCCTTTACAGAAACATTTTTGGATACGCAAGAATATTGAGATGATGGTACTTGTTCTTGAAGTCAATCATATCTCTATTATTTGGTAAAATTCCTGTCTGCCCCCTAGTGGCTGTTAGGACGTTTTAAAAAAAGCTTTAAAACGAAACTGATCTTTGAGAATTTACTGTTAGCCCCTTTGTGTGGTCCTTGTGAACTTAAATTCAACAATCATTGTGTAGGCGATTGTGAATGAGTCTAACCTATGGTGATAACATCATGGTCTTAAACTGTGCATTCGAGTTAAGGGAGCTCATGCTGAGGGTTCTGGTGCAGCTCAAGACATGACCCATTTCCACCAATTCCTGGCCAACTGGCTCCAAACTGGGTCAGAGCATAGCTTCGGACTGGGACAACACACAAACTACACATACACAAAACTGTCAATGAATGTGTCTGTATCACACTATTTATAGTGTGGAAAACAGGTCAATTGTGCCCTGTGATGGCTGATATAAACACAAACCACATATGAGCAATTAATAGAGGAAAGGACATTTAACACCTTAGTTCTTTGCATCCTAAAATCATGTTATGCATACTGTTTATTACCGATATCAGTCAAAATATTTGTGTGCATTGTTAACCATGAAACTAATGAATCTCTTAGAGTTTAGGCAGGCTGAATATTCCAGCCCACACCTGCTGTTTCTGTGGTGTGTGGATATACGTATTATTTCTGTAGATTTATAGAAAAGGATCTTTGCATTTGTGCACCTCAGAGGAGTGTGTGTTTATCTTTTCTCCAGTTATTACATTATTTCTTCACTGTATTTCATTTTGCCCCATGGGACATCATTCTCCTCTTTGTATCACATAATTATTCCCAAAGGAGCATGGGCGTGTGGGCATGTGCATTGTTTAAGTGTGTGTTTCCAAGACGGCTTGAGTGAGCGCTTCACTTATAAAAGAGACACAGAGAAAGATAAAGTATGTGTACATGTTGACAAAATGTTTGTGAATATGTGTGTGCATGTGGGTGTGTGCATTGTTGAGTGTGTGCTGTGCTCATAGCCAGCGGGGACTGTCAGGTAGGATATAGGGAGACGGTCATGACAGCATTGCTGTTGCCAGGGTGACCGCCCACTCACTGCACTCGTCTGGCTGTCACAGCGATGATGTGCTAAGCTGTCACACTCTTAAAGGAAGTGATGTCATCGATGTGTGGAGCCAACTCGGTGTATCATCAATGTTCGTCCTGTCGGCCCTTCTAAGCAGCACAGGCTTTGTGAATTGTTCACTAAAGGACTCCCACTTCCACATCCAGTCAACAATACATGCCTGCTGCCTTGTTACACTGTAGCTTCAATGGTGGATTACAGTGAAATTAAGACGTGTTATCTACTGGATGCTTAAAGAAAGCTTCATTTGTTGTTTTTAAAGTTAGGAGGGATAATAATACAGTTTGTGTTTTTGATTTCATGGCTTTACGTTACAAAAAAAAAACGTAATGCCTCAAAGCCGAAGCGAAAGTTGATTTCTTAAGAGAGTGAAACTTCAGAGAAAGGAGTCTGATGCAGATATTCCCTGAACCTTGTTTGACAGGCCTCCATTTCCAGACAAAGTTTAAGTTAAAACATTTCTGTTTTCACTGATTTTTTTTGTTCTCAGCTTCCTGTCTCTGGGAGGCTGGGACGGCCTTCTTTCTTCACTCTGAGCAGAGTGAGTGACAGAGAGTGCTCTGCACACAGGAGTGTTATCCTGAGGTTATCATGTAAGAGCGAGACTGCAACGCTGGCGATTCCTCAGCTAAGAGGAGGATCAGTCCTGAGCAATCTCTTGCGAGAGAGAGAAAGACAGAGCGAACTGACTGGAGATACATTTTACAACGAACATAATAGCAGGAGGGAAAGTTTCCACACGTGCGTATGTGTGTGCGGCTGATTGTGGCCATGAGGGCTGTGTGTAGCGCTGGCACGTGTGTTGTGATAATTGATTTTTAATGAGGTGAGGATCTCCTGTGTATTTCCTAGGCTGGCCCTCTCTCTCTAAATAGAGTCCTAATTATCTGCGTTACACTGCTGGAAAAAAGGAAAAACATTTTTTAACAATACTTCCTATGAATCACACAAGTCACACAAAGACACTATTAAGGACTACACACCGATGACCATTAACGCCAAATGTAGCCCACTAGGTGTTGCTAAACATTTGTGTTTGTAAGTGTTAAAAGAGAGGCAGACTGGGCATGCTTGTTTCATTTATTCTACCTACATGGTACAACAAAGGCTTACCACACACACACGCACACACACACACACACGCTATATATACTACATGAGAGGTTTGTGCTAGTGCTGTAGTGTTGCTGCTTATGGAACAGTTGAAATCACTTTCTGCTATAACTTTTTCCAATGTGAGGCACTTCAGAAATGCAAACATGGCTCGTACTGTAGTCCCAGGGGTTGATTTGCTGGGGATGAATGTGGGTGGTTTCTCTTCTTCATTAAAAATATGCATAGCTTCTCTCCGGTTAACTAGATATCTTCTGGGAGAATGAAGGAGATCAGCACTTTACCCCCCACCACTCCTTGTTAAATCTGAACAACTCGGGCGTTGCTCTTAGATGTGTATATACTGTGAATTATACTATCTCTGTTCACCATCCATTCCACTTCAGTCTGTTTGACTCTTTTCATTTGAGCGTCTCTCCTCTCGCTGTAAGTGGCTGTGTGACTGGGAAATCTTTTCAGTTTCTGTATTTCATGATCTATTTCCATCTCTCAGCGTAGCTCTGTCGTCAATGTCTCACAGAGCTTAGAGACCAACAAGCGTTTTTTTCCCCCCCCTTCTCTGCTGATGATGAAAAACTTTTGGTGGCGTGATCGCTGAGTGGATTAACACACACAGCTGGGAATAGCTTATAGCAGTGCTGCTTGGGTTATCTCCCCTGTGTCTTCTGTCATGTTTTCACATCATACTGCCCCATTAAAATCAATGAAACACCACCACTGCAGATTGTTTCAAAAAGACTGTCATACTTTTCTCTCTTTCCTGTCTGTTATCACTGTCTGAAACATCTACAAAAGATATTGAAGAGTGGTGGACTGTCTGCTGTACTTAAAGAAATAGAAATATTAAAGTCTGTTTTAATCACTTCATCTGTCTTCAACACTGAATTCCCTCTTTTTGAATTTAGACATCAGTCCAGTTTTAACCATGAATGCTATGGCTAAGCAGACCTCACAGACCCCCTTGATCCAAGTCATTCATTTCACTTTTCAGCTTGTGTCTTATATGTCTTTACTCTATGTTTTCTATAAAGGCTTTAAATTATCCTAAAAAACAAGTATTAAATATAAAGCATCATCACCGTCAAGAAATATCGACATTTCCTCAAACAAAACTGATCCCCACTCAGTTTTCTAAACTCAACATAAAGAGCCATGCCAGGAAATTGCAGAGGAGCGAACATTTTTGCCATCATCTGGTATTTAGAAATGTCCTTTATTCTGGATTTCCTGCTCAACACTTTCTCAAGGATAAACGTGAGGAACATTTCTTCTTCATTTTCACAATGCTGGATTCTCACCGTGGTTAAAGGCATCTTTGTTGCACCATCAGCTGTTTTTGTTGAGAAAACGGCTCGTGAACACAATAAGTAAATCATTGAGCATATCTGCAGAAAATGTATTGACGTAGTAAAAGCTTTTATGTTTTTATTTTTTTTTCGTCACTGGAAATCGATTTCCTTTGAGTTTCGATTGGTTGTTGGGCAGTTTGTCTATTTTTGAAATATTATAGAGGGAACATTTAATCCATCAATTAAAAATTATAGTTGAATAATCCATAATGGAAGTGGCAGCTGTAAATGC